CTCGGGTTATGCAAGTAGGAATCTTCTCAGGAATTGTCACTTGTTTCCAACACACATTGCAGAGACTATATTTAACAATATGCAAATGCAGCATTGTAACATTTTCATAAATTACATAATATGCTGCATGCTGTACCACACTCCCTGTTTTTAGATCAGAACCTGATCTTTTCCGATCTCTTTCAGGCTCAGTTTTTCGATTATTTTATTTATTTTTTCCGCACTTCTGACACAGACCTCACTTAAGGTCTGTGTCCCTAATCAATACTCATCCTACACATGGCACCTGCTACATTTGGGCTAAATTGAAGAATCTTGCTTTGCCTCAGGCTACCCTTCAGCAAAGGTCAGCCTGTGGTAATATGGGTGTTTTCTTTACAGCCAAAACATCCTACATGTTAAACATTAACCATTAGTAATCACTGGCTTACCACGATGAGCTGTATCAGATAACTACTTTCATCCCTGCCTCAGGGCAAGTATCAGGTTGTGGTCCCTGAAATTTTGTACTTACAAGACAAGACAGCAGTGATAAGATCTTTAAGCCTCTGTTTTTTTTTTAACCTCCCTCTGACTCTGGCTACTTCTTCATAAAGCTTCTTAAATAATGAGAAAGCCTAGCCTGCAACACCTTTAATATCCAGTATGTAATAGCAGCTTTCTTTCTTTCTTTTCTTTAAAAAAACCCCCAATTTCTGGTTTTAAGAAATTCATTAAAAAGTAACGGTCTTGCAAAGGCCAAGTATCAAAGATAAGAATTTCAGAAACATATTTTAAAAGGTAATATGTGCTGCAAGGACCTTTTCCCAAAGTGTCTTGGGGGTTGTGGTTGTGAAGATGTGAATCACATCTTCTGTCAGCCTAAGGACACTGACGATATGAAAAATGAAGTACAAAGAATGAAAGCATGCATGCCCTGACAATGTTTTGTGGGAAAGTGCTGATGTGTCGCTCTGCTGTTTACTCCTGTAGGTATAAGCGGGTGGTGACCCCTCGGCGAGCGGCACTGGCAGTCGTGATATGTTGGACGGTAGCGTTTATTGTGGGACTCACACCCATGTTAGGCTGGAACAACCTGAAGCGCTGCCAGGAGAACGGCTCCATCAGCTCCGACCTCATTA